TTTAATCAAAGTTCAGTCACCCTTTCAAAATATCCACTATGAAGTGGTGTGGGGTTTTTACTACAGCCACTAGCAGCAGTCGTCCAAAATATCCATCTGCTTGGGTGTTTATATGTATTTTCTCATCGCATATCATTGAAATGCTATCTTCTCTCGAAATGCTATCTTCTGCCGAAAAACAGATGAATATTTAGAACGACACCACTTGGGATGTTTCGAGTAGGTACTCATCGTTAACACCTTTATGGATTAAGACAAGGAATTCAAGTCCAAGTGGTTGACCCTTCTGGACTATATTTATGGCCCCGACCATCGTCAGTGATGATATTTTTCGAAAGTGACTTCTAACACATTTTTTAGCCGAGGCAATTCTTTCTGTTGGCCGAGAACTATTTCTTATTTAGGAGTTTCCGCCGAGAACTAAACCCGCTCTACAGTCTCCTCGCTGATCGAGAAAAGACTTCGTGTTAGTTCCTCGAGGTTTCCCTGTAATTTTCTTTTATGTCTCTCACCAACAAAGTAAACATGCCAAACAGCTGTATTTGATGACGTATGTTTGAGATGAGCGAAACTCGAACAATCACCTTAATTTTTAACAGACCTCGTATAAACACCAAACTTATAAAATAACAAGTGGTTATGTAAAATGTGGAGCAGAAATAAATTCTTATCGGAAAACATACCAATTCCACTAGTCAGGTCATAACATTTCATTATCCTTCCAAAAAACGGACAAAAATATAGTAAAAAAAACATATTCTCAATAAACCTGAAAGGAGGTAGCAAATTTTCGCCACAGGCGTAGATAAATAAGTTAATTTACACACAGGGATAGATCTGATGAATGGATTGTTTTCGTAGATTTTTAGCTTGTACGATTGATGACCTTTTTATTTTATAGAAATTTATATTGAATAAATAAAATAACTTTTGTCTAATTTCCACTAAGTTTAACATTTGTTACGACTGATAATGGTCTAATAAACCGAAATCGTTCGTGACAAATAATAAACTCAGTAGAAATTACATTAATTCGGAATTGCATTGTATAATATTACACAGACTTATTTGAGAAGAGTTAAAAAGGAATAGCTGAAATTAACAATTATATTAAGCAAAAAACGCTGAAATAACAGTGAAAAAAATAAAGTAAAACTAGAACAATCACGACGTTTCGATTGTTAGTATCCACAATCGTCTTCGGGTGATAATAATAATAGTAATAATAAATATGCTTTATTGTCTCAAGGGCAACTTGTTGACAAAGCTTGAGCAATAGGACAATTCATATAATTTATTGATTTAAGTAAAATTGCAAGTCATAGTAGATAATAAAGAAATTTCGTTTAACTAGTAAAATACGAACATAAGCTTAAGCAATAAGGACAATTAAATATAACTAATCAATATAAAAGATTTAGCGAATAAACTAAAATCCACACATGGTACCATAACATATACAATAAACATGCTAAAAGGTGTCTACAAAGTATTCTTGTAGACTGTAATAGGGCTTATCTACTAAAAATTTCTTTACAGCCTTTCTAAAACGCTTGCCTGTCAAATTAGAGGACTTTACATCGACTGGCAGATGATTGTAAATTTTAGCACCATCGTAAAATATTGAATCCTTGACTGAGTTAGAGGTGGGAATTGGGAGCCTGAGGCTAAATTCTGTATTTCGAATTGAATAGGGTAAAGTCGCTACATTATATCTTGATTTGTGTTTATTCACCAAGCATACTGTCTCCAAGATGAGAAGTGCAATGACAGGTAATACTTGATTATTAATAAAGAGTTTCCTGCAAGAGTCTCTTGGTTTAACCTTACAGAGGTATCTTACAGCTCTTTTCTGTATAATCAATATAGAAGACAAGAGAGTTGGACAACATGCTCCCCAAAAAGGTATCCCATATCGAATTTGGGAGTCAATTAATGCATAGTAGGCCGTTTTTGCAGTACTGAAATTCAACTCCTTAGAAACTACCCTCACTGCATAACACCCAGAGGAAATTTTACTTCTGAGCTGTCGGACGTGTTCATCAAACTTAAGCCTATGATCAATCAATACACCCAAAAATTTTGTGTTAGATTTATTTTGCAGGACACCACCGTTCACAGGAGATTCGTCAAGCACGCATTTGAATGATATTATATTTGTTTTAGTAACATTCAGAGAAAGCAAATAAGCGTCACAACACATTTTAATTTTTCCAAGTCAGAAGTTATTATTTTATGTAGTTCGTTTTCATTTTTCTCATTCCACAAGATGGTGGTGTTGTCCGCGAAAAGTGTAAAGCTGCCCGATATGTTGATCTTCGTCCAATCATTTACATATAATAGAAAGAGAACAGGTCCCAGCACGGATCCCTGTGGTACACCACTATCGATTGCCCTTCTTTCTGAGATTTCTGTTGTTCGTACCATTTGATCTCGTCCTGTGAGATATGATTCAAACCATTGATAAGTTGTGCCCTTGAACCCATAACGATTGAGTTTTCTAAGCAGTATATTGTGATTAACGCAATCGAATGCTTTAGAGAGATCGAAGAAAACTGCTGCGGCTGTATCACCAGCATTTATTTCTGAATAAAAATCGTACAGAAAAGAAAAAATTGCATCATGAGTGCTTTTTCCGGCCTGGAACCCAAATTGATCTTTACTTATGATTTGATGTAAATACAAGAAATCATTCATTCGAATCTTAACTAGTTTTTCGATGGCTCTCGATATAGTTGGTATTAGAGAAATAGGGCGAGGATTAGAGGGATTATCTAAATCTCCTCCTTTATGAAGAGGAATAACTACCGAAGTTTTCCTTTTTTCGCTTCACTGGTTTAACGGGAGATGACACTTTGGCGGGAGTTGGCCATTTTCCGTTTGATTTTGGGTTTCCATAAGTTGCGTTTCTCTACGCTAGCTAGGCTGAATACATTGTTGAACAACATGTATGCGGCTTCTTTGAATTTCCTCCTAAACCAATGTTCCTCCTTGTGTATGATCTCGGCTTGGCACCACTCGATGCTCTGCTATTCCTGATTCCTGTGTGTGTTTCTTGTGCTCGGCAATGCAAACTTCCAATGATCTCCTAGTGTCACCGATGTAGGATTTTCCACACTCACAGGGTATTCGGTAAATACAATTCTTGGAATCGCAGTCCGCGTTTGGTTGTCTGGTTTTCGTGAGGCTGCTACGGATAGTGTTTCCGGATATGAAGCAGGTTCTGATGTAGTACTTGGACCCAAATCTTCTTATCCTTTCCGATAATCCTCTGATCTAGGGAAGTGCAAGCACTGGTTGTGACGGCTTCTCTTCCTTGCGAGGCTTCTGTTGTCTTTCAGCCAAAGTCTGTTCCACCATTGCTTTGCAGTAGACATTCCGTTGAAGATCATGATGTCTAGTTCCTTCTCGAGATCTTCCTTCGTATTACAGAGCCCGAAAGCACGGCCTAATAGAGTCTTGATGATTCCTCTTTGAGTCGATTGATGGTGGTTGGATTCGTGGTTCAGATACTGTCCCGTATGAGTGAGTTTTCGGTATACAGATGTTTCCCACTTAGCGGTATACAAATGTTTCCCACTTAGTGGGAAACATCTGTATACCGAAACATGATACAGTGTTTCCCAATAGGTACGTCTAAGAATGGAAATTCGTTGTGGACTTCTTTCTCCATTTGGATCTTCCTCTTGAAGATGATCACTTGGTGATCAAAGCACGTGTCAAGATGTTAAAATAACGAGTTGGTGTTGGGAAAAAACTCCAGTAATATTCATTACTACACCAAAGGTTCCAAACAATGCGTCACTAAAACGATTATACATCATTCGGTAATTTTTACGTAACGAACATCTGAAAGCAATAAACTTTGGTTGTGTTGTTCGATATTGGGGTTTAAGAGTAACTGTGTCCTTCCGCGTATTTACAAATGAAAACCGTGAAGAAACAGTTGAGATCATTGAATTGAACGGAATTGCTTGTTACCAAACTAATGCTGACCACTAATTGAGGTTTCTCAACAAGTAGTTACGTTGCCGTTAAAAAGATTTTGGCGGGCGAAATCCCATCAAGCGGATACTATTTCATTTATGTTGTGTAACCCGGGGTTGAACTCGATAAAATTATGACACCTCGTTTTACCATTCATTCGAAGTGTTACGAAATTTGGCTTGGCCTGTTTCAAATACAATGGGATGTTCTTCAAATCTAATGTTTATTTATTTATTTACAGCATTGTTTGTTTTTACAGAATGATTAACAAATTCACACATGTACTGTAACAATAATCTATAACTACCAGTTGATGTAAGGTAAAAATATGAAAAAAGAATGGCAAAAATGAGCCAATCAATTAAAATCTATTCAGTCTTCTAAAACGATTCCAAAGAAGAATTTAAAAGTTCTAAATCTACATTGTTAGTGCTTGCAAGTATCAAAATTCTACCTAAAGAGTCATTCTGACCAAAATGAGTACGATGAAAGGGTACTTTGCATATTTCTGCATTTGTTGTTCCCTTTCGAGGCGTAGAGGGGCGGTCTAAGCAATGAAGCGCCGTCGCCGAGAACGCGGGCAGACGCGTGAGGGTTGTGTTAGTTCGATTCTCGAAGCTATTAAATACTTAGTGCAGTTGGCATATTTTTTAGTTACTATATTTTTGAAGAAAAAATTACTAGCTGTTGCCCATCTTTATGTTAACGTATAGCCAAAGCTACTGCACCTAGAATCTTGAAATATGCAGGTGGGTTCTTTGTATAGCGTAAATAGGCATCAAGAAAGGAAACCGAAAATTTCCACCCCCAAAGGGGAAAATAGGGGAACAAAGATTGTATTGAATTTCGTCAGTTTTGAAGTTGGAAACCTGAAGTTTTGGGTCACGAAAATGAGACACACCAAATTCTACGCGATCAACAACTAGTTCTAAATGAAAACCGTACTCCGGTATTATGGTGTACAATTCACGACTGTACTTGAAAAAATGATAAGAAGAAGATAAACAACTTACCACTTTTATTCACTAGTATATCCTGGTATGTATCGATCACACTTGTAACTAGATGAGCCATTTTGGTATCTGTAAAGAAAAAAAAAGTTTGTTATTCGTTGAAAAAATACGTCGTATGACCTCGTTACCTATTAGCTCGCATAAGAATTGTCGTTCGTACAAAAATGACAGCTGGTTAGGAAGAAACCATTTAAATCTTTTTGCAAACAATGTTTTCATTCGGAATTTTACTGAATCATAATGCAAGAAAATAACAATTGGAATTCGAAGTATGGACAATGCATTATTCAAATATTCCCAAGTCATTTGGGAATATTTTCGATGGAAAATTATGCGAGAAAATTTGGTAAACATATTGAAATGACAATAAAACTCTTCAACTTTCGCCTTGATATTTGATTCTGAACATAGAAAAAAATAATATGAAAGTGTACTTTGAAACTGTTCGTACTCTCCAAGATGTGTTGGGCAACCTCAATGAGGAAGCAGAAGTCTGGAATTCATGAAATTAGCTGTGAGGATTGAGATACAAAGTATGTCGGTCAAACTAGGAGGACCATAATGACGCGTTTAAAGGAACATGTTTCACATATTCCGTTCCGTAGACCCTAAAAGTGTGATGTCGCTCAACATGCTTCAGAGAATGGCCACAAAATGAGTGAATTTGTTGAAAAACATGTGGAATAAGATTTATGAACAGAATACAATACAAACGGAATACGATCCAGATCCAGAACGAAAACTCTGGAACTGTTATCAAATAATTTTGGAGGCGGTAGAGTGTGATCTGTTTGGAAATACTGGAGAAAAATAGAAATGGCATTGAAATGATGGATAGCTTTCTTATACGACATCATTTCATTCATGTACAAAAGTCTATATATAGTAAGAGCTAATATTTGCGTACGTATATATTAAAGCAAGAAATCAATTTGACCTCCTAGATATCCAGTTTCAAATCCACTGGATTTCTCTTTTTTCTGGGGAAATCGAAAAATAAACATCCACAATAGTATACCACTCAGCAATGAAGCACGAAACAAAGAACGGAAAGTCATATACCAAATAGCGAACTAGAAAACAGAATCAAACAAAAAATACAGAACAAGGATCAAGCCACCCCAACAGACAAAACAACACAACGATGGACAGCATTTACGTACGTAGGACACCAAACCAAAAAACTAACAAACGTCTTCAAACCACTGAACATCAACATCACATACAAGCCAAACACGAAGATAATACAAAAAATAAACAACTATGAAAAAGAAAAAGAAAAAGACCAAAACGGGATATACAGTATGCAATGCTCGGACTGCAACAAATTCTATATCGGCCAAACCAAGAAAAAACTAATCCAAAGGTACAATGAGCACAAAAAGGCATACATAAATCCAATAGTATATAAATCAAACCTCGCAACACACGCCATACAAAACAAACATAATTTCCCCCCACCAGAGAACATAAAACTCATAAAACAAGTCAACAAGGGAAACCGCATGGACATTTGGGCAAACTTGAATATCCATAAATTCAACAGTCATAAATCACTCATCGACGAACAAGTACAAATCAAAACACAACAAGATCTCACATTCAATATATTAAACAAAACCATACACATTCCTAGAGAAGATGTAACACAAAGAATAGTACCTTATGCAGTACAAATACAAGCAAATTTACCTAATGTACCTAAAATACCTGAGTTGAGACGTTCGGACCGTATAAAGAGGCAGACGACAGGATGACAAGTTCAGTTTGAGGAGTGCCTAGAAGATGACAGTACGACCAGCTGTCGAAAGCGCTCGTAGATAAATAATAGAAGATATAAAGCTTTAAATCCGTTTTGTGAAATTTAATATTAATATACAGGGTGATTCAAAAGTACTTTGACAAACTTCAGGAGGTGATTCCTCACAATATTCTAATATGAATTGTCCAAATAAATAAATGTCCGGAAATCCTCAATATTTAAGATATGTACTCTTCACGGACGAGGCAAACTTCTCCCGAAATGCTATCACAAACTTTCATAACAACCATGTTTGGGCTCTCGAAAACCCGCACGCAGTTAGTGAAAGGCATTATCAGTATCAATTTTCTGTAAATGTATGGGCGGCAATAATTGATAATTACTTGATAGGTCCTTTCTTTCTTCCTCTCCGACTGAATGGCGCAACTTACAGACACTTTTTAGAAAATGAATTGCGGGGACTACTTCAGAATGTACCATTAGAAATTCGTATCCGCATGTGGTTTATGCATGATGGGGCTCCGGCCCATTTTAGCGTTGTAGCCAGGGAATTCCTTAACACAGTCTATCCAAATCGATGGATCGGTAGGGGTGTAGAAGAACCTAACCAGGCGTGGGTACCAAGGTCCCCAGATCTAAACCCGATAAGATTTTTATTTTTGGGGACATTTGAAGTCGCTAGTTTATAAGAATCCAGTAGTGAACGAGGAAGATCTAAGAAACCGAATAGTAGACGCCTGTGAAACAATAAGAAACACACCAATAATTTTTGAGCGAGTACGAGATTCAATGACTAGACGACTGACTGCCTGTATCTTCGCTGAAGGTGGACACTTCCAACAATTTATTTGATGGCAGCAGGAGGTTGCATATCTTAATGAGGAATTGCAAAGGCTGCATATCTTAATGAGGAATTGCAAAGGCTGCAGATGCATATCTTCACCGGCAGCAGGAGGTTGCATATCTTAATGAGAAATTGCAAAAGTTGCAGATGCATATCTTCACCGGCAGCAAGAGGTGGCATATCTTAATGAGGAATTGCAAAGGCTGCAGATGCATATCTTCACAGGCAGCAGGAGGTTGCATATCTTAATGAGGAATTGCAAAGGCTGCAGATGTATATCTTCACCGGCAACAGGAGGTTGCATATCTTAATGGGGAATTGCAAAGGCTACAGATGCATATCTTCTCCGGCAGCAGGAGGTGGCATATTTTAATGAAGAATTGCAGAGGCTGCATATCTTAATGGGGAATTGCAAAGGCTACAGATGCATATCTTCTCCGGCAGCAGGAGGTGGCATATTTTAATGAAGAATTGCAGAGGTTGCATATCTTAATGAGGAATTGCAAAGGCTGCATATCTTAATGAGGAATTGCAAAGGCTGCAGATGCATATCTTCACCGGCAGCAGGAGGTTGCATATCTTAATGAGGAATTGCAAAGGCTGCAGATGCATATCTTCTCCGGCAGCAGGAGGTTGCATATCTTAATGAGGAATTGCAAAGGCTGCAGATGCATATCTTCACTATATATATTTGGAAGGCCGGGTCTGGCCTCCCAAATATCTAAAGACATTAATTATCAGTAACGAAATTATTTCAATCCTGGTTTTCTGAAAACTAGCTTTGGTCTCTCTGTTTACTTCGATGTGACAATGAACAGAACGCATTTTCCACATATCTGAGATGAAAATAGACTGTAACATATTCTCAATAAAAACTAGAGCATTTTAGCTCATGGTCTTTTATTACAAGTACAACTCCAACGGCACGAAATGCTCGTAATTTACATTTAATGTAGAGATGCAGTAATTAGTACCATTTACCCAATTAACTATTATAATTATTTGAGAAATTGATAGAAACAATTGAAATTCAGCTTTGTCGATTCAACGGAAATTTCTTCAGAGCATTCGACCTTGTGGATAATTTAAAAAATGTCACATAACAGATGACTCAATAAACATTATTATGAAATAGTTTCGAAAGAACCATGTCAGTTCCAACAGATTGCTCAGATTTCTTCCAAAATTAAATTTTTGCCGCTTTTCAGCTTATTACTATAAAGCGATTGTTAGCCAATTTTTCTCTACTACTTCAAATTGAATTCGTTCAGGAGATTTCAGTCGCGTTTTGAAGTCTGTTCTTTGCTTTTGCGCTATCAAAAGGATCCTTTTTTGGATCGGATCTTTACTGTGATGAAGAGTGGATTCACTACGACGTTCAGGACAAAGGCGAAAATCCACAAAAAAAGGCCATGTTTACAGTTTTTTTAAAGAAAGAGCCTTATTGGTTTTCCACTTTTGGGCAGGTTGGAATCAATTCTCGAAATAGATTTTCTTAATGGTGCGTCCTGCATCAAAACAGTGGACACAAGTGTCCCATCCCGAAACTTCGAAGTACACCATTGAGGATGCTAGTGATTCATGTAAGTGAAATAATATATGAATTCTCTTTCAAATATCACGTTGTGTGGCGTTCCTATTAATGATATCATCTATGAACTTCTATGTATGATTGACATGTCTTTGTGAAGAGTTTTTATTGTGTTTTGGCCTTATAGGGAAGTTCCCCACTTTATTTATGTATAATAGGTACCTAAATTATCAAAATTCAAGTATTTATACCGTTTCGAATTGAAAAAAAATAATTGCAACAAGTATTTTTATTTCGCGTCGATATTAGCAGAGGAATTTTTCGGAGAACTACACTTGTACACATGTCATGTTAGTTCCATTTCTGATGAATCAGCATTGTTGAAAACAGGTTCGAAACGATAGAAACGAAACATTTATCTCTGTGCTATCTTAATGAGATTTTTTTGTTTCTATCGTGGGTGCTAATACTTTAAATACACATTCAGTGAATCCCTGTAAGTACAGATGAAGATAACAATATATTAAATATGACAGTCACTATTATGTTTCACAGAAATTGGACAAGAGTTGAATTCAATTGTTGGCGGAATTGCATAATTCCATTGTTTTAAGATCGACTTTAAAATTTGTTTGAACCTTTAATTTCTATTTTGATAGGTTCCTTCACTTAAACATAAATCAAATTTGAACTAATAAATTCATTGTGCGATTATTATGAATATTATTCAGAAGAAAAACTATATTGATTTTCGTAAGCTTCATTTGTTCATTTCAAATATTTATTTAAGGTTATGTGCCATATATTTGATAGAATAATTACCTATACGATGTTTTAATTTTATCACGGTAACTGTCACGTTTTGAGGTCTGTTCATTTGATTTCATGCAACTAATACGATCCTTTTTTGGACTGGATAATCACGTGTGAGG